GGGGGGGTCAACAGTGGGAGGGCTTCTAGTGTCCTGGCCCCACTGCTGGACCTCCTGAGGGCCCCTGGTATTTCTGGCCACTGTGTGACAGACAGAGTGTAGGACTGGATGGGCCTTTGGCCTGATCCAACATTGGCATCTCTTATGTTCTTATGCTCTTAAGGCGGAGGAAGGGTCGCTGGCAGCTCCCTCCCCACCTCCCTCTCCTGCCTGGGGAGCCGAGCGCAGCTGCCGGGGACTGGCGAGGCAGGGGAGGGAAGAGCCGGGAGGGATGGCTGGCCCAGGACCGGAGGCGGCTGAGGAGTGCCGGATGAGATGGGCGCACTTTCTTCCTCAGGGGACAGGCAGCAGGGCAGGCTCATTCAAGAGCTCCTGGAAAGGCTAGGGGCGGGGGGGGGGGGGGGGAGAATCTCTTGCTGGACTCTCGGCTACTGTCTCTCTCTCTCCCTCTCTCCCCTCCCTCCCTCCCTCCTCCTCCAGCTCTTCCTTGACAGAGGCCTTTGAGGTGGATGGAGAAGCAGAGCTAGTCTCCTGAGTGGGGAAATCCTCTGGGGAAAGAGAGTCCTCTCCCCTGCACGCACGCACGCACGCACGCACACACACCCTCGACTCCTGTGGGCAGATACTGACTCCCAGGTGTGTCTCTGGACCAGTGTTCCCTCTAAGCTGAGTTGGTGTGAGCTAGCTCACTGTTTTTTAGCCTCTGGCTCACACGTTTTTGTCTCCACTCAGGAAGGAGGGGATCCGGAGCAAACTAGTTTATGCAGCAGCCAAATGGCTCGCTCACAACTTTCATGCCGGTAGCTCACAAAGGAGAATTTTTGCTCTCAAGAAGACTCCGCAGCTCAGAGGGAGCCTCGGACTCTGGACTGAGTGGTGAAGGAGGGGCCCCCCACCCACCCCCACTTCTCGTGCTCTGGAGGAGTAAGGGGGGGGGCCTGTGGAGCGCTACGCCTTTGGGTGTTTTGCTCCCAGTGCTTAGAGCTGGAGAAGTCACAGCCCGGGTGGGTCTGGAAGGAGGGGAGGAGCAAAGGGACCAGGAGGAGGGACAAGACCTGCCTGAACACCCTGGGGGGGGGGGGGGGCTCTGATTTCCTTGCGTGACTGGGAAGGACACGGCGGGGGACAGGAGGCTGGGCGGGGTGGAGCTCTGGCCGCAGCCAGTGGGGTTCCTGCTGCGTGATTCTCCACCAGGGCACCCGGAGGGAACCCGGTCAGACACAAAGGCTTCAAACCCCTCTGCCTGCAGACTCCAAGGATGGCCACGTTTGGTGCTGCTGGCCAGACTCTCGGCTGCTCACTTGGCCCCAAGAGCCGGAGCCTGCCGGCCACATGTCCCGTGTCCCCCCCCCCCCCCCGACATGCCTACCTCCGGCAGACGGCGTACATCCGGTTGACCGTGGAGATGCGGAAGGGCTCGTTCTTGGAGCGGGTGAGGCTGTTGCTCAGCGTGCCCAAGCCCAGGCGCTGGTAGTCCCTGCAGCAGGCCCGCTCCACCAGGTGGCTCATGGTCATCTTGTCCGAGGGCCTGATGGTGGTGGTGGAGGGCGTCAAGGTGCTTCTTTCCACTTCTTCCGACACTGCAGGTGCCGAGGCGAGGCAAGACCACATATGCGGGAGACACTCATCCATCCATTCCTTCAGGTGTTCGTACCCCGTTTGCCCCCCCCCCCGGGGGACCCAAAGTGGCTGGCGACAACCCTGCTCTCCCCTCCTCCTCCTCCACCTTCATCCCAAAACCACTCCCCCGTGAGGCACTTTGGCCAAGGCCACCCAGGGACCAGTGTGGGTGTGTTGTGTGTGTGTCTCCTGATGTTTGAACCACTGTGTCACGTCCGGCTTTCCCGCCTTCTCCTCAAGGAGCCACGTTACCACGGCAGCGGAGGCTGGCATTCATCCCACCCCCACCCTCCGAGGCCCAGCCCCCCTCAGACGCACCCGAGATCTCGTCCTCCGGGTCCTCCGGGAAGTGCTGCTGGGTGCCGCGCTGCTCCCATGGAGGGGGGGTGTACTTCTTGCGGGTTACGTACTGACGGCCAATGGTCTTCTTTGCGTTCTTCACCAGGATCTTGGAGATGGCCCTGGAAGAGAGGAGGGCTTGCCAGGCCACGGCGGTCTCCGGCTCGGAGACGACACCCTAGAAGGCCAGAGCCTGAGCCCGTCTGCAGGCCGAGGCACTGGGAAGCAAAGGGGGTCTCTGACACGGTGAACTGCCCCCCCTCTCCTCTAGGAAGTGCCGCCACCGCCGCCACCAGGGCCCACATGTGTAAGCTGTTGCCACCACTGATGGGGACCCATGCCCCACTGCAGTGACCAGAACAACTTTCCAAGCAAGCCTGCATCAAAAGCCCAAGAAAGGCTGATGCAGTCTTGGGGTGTATCCACAGAGGCTTAACATCCAAATCGCAGGATGTCCTAGTCCCGCTGTACACTGCGTGGGTCAGGCCGCACTTGGGAGTCCTGTCTGCCGTTCTGGAGGCCTCACTTCAAAGGGGAGGTGGACGGAATGGGGCGGGTGCAGAGGAGAGCGACGAGGACGCTTGGGGGCCTGGAGACCCTGAAGCCCTGTGAGGGAGAGGCTGAGGGGACCTCTTGGGAAGGCTCAGTCTGGAGAAGAGGAGGTTGAGGGCGGACAGGGTGGCCCTCTTGAAGTATCTGAAGGGCCGGGTCCCCTAGAGGAGGAGGAGGAGGAGGAGGAGGAGGAGGGCAGGGAGCTGTTCCTGTGGGCAGCAGAGGAGAGGGCTCTAAATGAAGGGCGGGATCTTAGGGGAAACCTTTTCGACAGTCAGAGTTGTGCAGCAGTGTAAAGGGGTGGCCTGGGGAGGGTGGTGAGCTCCCCCCCTCCCTGGCAGTCTTTAAGCAGCAGCTGGACAAACACGTCTTGTCAGGGATGCTCTCGGCTGATTCTGCACTGAGCAGGGGGGGTGGGACTGGATGGGCCCCTCCCAGCTCTGTGGCTCCAAGGAGAAAGGTCAGCACAATCTGCCAGGCAACGGCGAGGCAGGCCCGAGCGAGTGAGCTGCCCCTGACTGTGCCTCCGGCCGTAGCAAACTTAACCAGCCCCCGCCCGCCATGCTGAAACGGTGCCTCCCAGGCCTAACCAATGAGCCAGCAGCTCCAAAAGCTCACACAGATCAGGGACACAGTGGGGTGAGTGAGTGGAAGGGGGCGAGGCGTGGCCAGGGCACGCACACATGCTCCAGAGGTGGCCGGTCTTGCCACGCCGATGATGCAGCCTCCAGCCGGGCTATGGACCTAGTGTCGTCCATGGCGGCACTGGGACTCTCTCAATTCGTATCGGCCCCCACGCATCGGGCCGGTCACACGCTCTATTTGATCTTCGCGGCTCGGTTGACAGTGGACCGGATTACCGCGGAAGCGGTACCATGGCCGGACCACTATGCACTGAAGGCCCGTCTGAATGTTCCACCCCGACCCTGTTTAGGCGGTGAGCGGATTTTAGCTCGCCCGAGGAGCCGAATGGACCCAATACGGCTTCAGATGGACCTACGGGATCCGAGGCTCCCGGCGGCTCGTTGGACGAGCTTGTGGAGGACTGGCATTGCCGACTCTCCGCAGCCATCGACGAGATCGCTCCCAGGCGCCCTCTCCGCACCCGCTCAAGGCTGGCGCCCTGGTATAGCCAGGCTGATGAAGCGAGAGCTGAGACGGTTAGAGAGACGGTGGCGTCGCGCTCGTGATGAGGCTTCAAGAACATCCTATAGGACGTTTATGAGATCCTATGAGGTGGCAGTCAAGGCCGCAAGAAAGGATTCTATGCGACCAGGATTGCATCTGCGAGCTCGCGCCCAGCCCAATTATTTAGAACAATTCGGTCTTTAACGGCTCTGCCATAGGGCAGGCGAAATGCTAGGGAAGCGACATTGGCTGCGAGGCATTTGCGAGCTATTTCGCAGATAAAGTCTTGGCGCTCCGCTGCGACCTCCCTGCCACAGTTGAGACAGTAAGCAAACTTGAGGCCCCTTGCATGTCTTGGGTTCCGGGTTTAGAGTGCTTTGGCCTGCTCAGCCTGGAGGAAGTTGACAGATTGCTTGCAGCAGTGCGCCCTACCACATGCAACCTTGACTCGTGTCCTTCTTGGCTCATTAAAGCGGGTCATGGGGGATTGCAAGGTGCTCTCAGGGAAATTATCAACATGTCCCTCTTCGAGGGATGGTCCCCTGAGGCACTCAAGGAAGCGATGGTCCACCCTCTCCTGAAAAAACCTTCTCTGGACCCGGCCGGATTGGCCAACTATTGGCCGGTGTCCAATTTGCCCTATTTGGCCGTGTTCGATATGGTCAACCAGCAGCTGCTGACCCACCGCCTTGCCGACGTGGGGATTCAGGGGCTCGCCCTTCAATGGCTTGCCTCTTTTCTCCGAGGTCGGGGACAAAGGGTGGTGATAGGGAAACAGCAGTCCTGGAGAAACCCTCTTGAGTGTGGGGTGCCTCAGGGGGCAGTTCTTTCCCCAATGTTGTTTAACATCTACATGCGCCCCCTTGCCCAGATTGCCCGGAGGTGTGGGCTTGGGTGTCATCAATATGCAGATGACACCCAGCTCTATCTGATGTTGGGCGGCTGGTCGGGCTCTAGTCCAGAGGATCTGCACTGGGCGTTGCAGGCCGTGGCTGGATGGCTCCAACTGAGCCGGCTGAAGCTAAACCCGGTGAAGACGGAGGTCCTGGGCCTGAGTCGGGGTGGTCTGGGGTTGGGGCTCCCGCTCCCGGCCTTCGATGGGGTGCCTTTGGTGCCAGCGCCCGAGGTTAGGAGTTTGGGAGTGCTCCTGGACTCCTCGCTAACGATGGAGGCCCAGGTGGCAGCCACTGCTAAGTCAGCTTTTTGCCATCTTCGGCTGGCTCGGCAGTTGGTTCCCTTCCTCGGCCGCAGTGACTTGGCCACAGTGATCCATGCGACGGTCACCTCGAGGCTAGACTACTGTAATGCTCTCTACATGGGGCTGCCTTTGTCACAAATCTGGAAGCTGCAGCTGGTGCAGAATGCTGCGGCTAGACTGCTGATGGGTCTCCCTAGCCGGGACCACATCCAGCCGGTGCTGAAAGCACTGCACTGGCTGCCAATAGCATATCGGATTCACTTCAAAGCGCTGGTTCTCACTTTTAAAGCCCTATATGGCCGGGGTCCAACATACCTAAGGGACCGCCTTTCCCCATATGTTCCCCCACGGGCACTACAGTCGGGGACACAACATCTCCTGGCGATACCAGGCCTCAAGGAGGCCAGGCTAGCGGCTACCAGGGCCAGAGCTTTCTCGGTGGTGGAACAAGCTCCCAGAGGAGATCCGGGCCCTGCAGGACCTTCTGCAGTTCCGCAGGGCCTGCAAGACGAAGCTCTTCCGCCAAGCTCTCAAGTAGGAGCCGCCACCACTACCGCACCATCGTTATGTTCCATCAGTATTGTCTGGCCCTGGGAAGGGGGAATGGCAGTGTCGCGTCGAACTGAGAGCATTGAGTAGATGTACCATCTTGTAACGCCATCTTTGTGGAAGATCAGACTGGAACAGCCAGAGCACTTATCTTGATGTATGTAGTAAGGATTTTATATGGTTTTAATTTGTTTTATGTGTAGGCGTATGCCTAATTGTGAGCTGCCCTGAGCCCGCACAGTGGGGAGGGAGGGCTATAAATTGAATTTATAAATATAAATAAATAAATAAATATAAAGAGGCTTCTGGGAAGGCAGAAAGGGAGGCGCTCCAGCAGCCCTGAAGTCCACGGTGCGCGTGCGAGTCCTGCGCTGCCCCTGCCCCCTCTGCCACGGAGCCACCTTACGTGATGTCCCCAGGGAAGGGACCCACCGCCAGGTCCCGGGACGCAGGGTCTGGCCCATGCCAGGAGCTGCTCACCAAAGCACCACGGACGGCCTCCGGCTCCAGTGCCTAGAGTTGCCAGGGCTCCTCCTCCACCGCCGCCCCCCCCCCCCCCCCCCGCCCCCCCCCCCCCCCCCCCCCCCCCCCCCCCGCGCGCGCGCGCACCTGCCGCAAGGGAAAAGCTGGAGGATGTTCACTCACTCACTCACTGTGCTGCAGTGTTGTGATCTACAGTGGTGAATGCATTGCTTGAATACATCCGAAGAGGTTTTGATCTCCATGTGGAAGGTGTGAGGGAACGCCCCCCCCCGAAGTGGGCTTGCTGACCACCTCACCGCCACAGAGTAGGCACCACCACGGGCTCTGACTTGGCTCTGCCACGCCCACCGCTCGCTCTCAAGCCCTCTGCCTGCTCACGGCATCATCCTCAACTCCTCAGGAGAACAAGGAGCCAAACAGGCTGGGAGAGGACAGCCGCGCTCAGCAGCCACGCTCTCCCTGTGACAGAGGGCCACGAGGGCTGTCAGCCAGCCACGTGGGCAGGAAGCCCCTTGAGTGCCACGCCACCAGCAACCTGTCAGCCCCCCACTACTGCAGAGGCCACAAGATCCTCTAAACCTAACCCTAACAGGGGGGGTGATCAAAAGATAACCCACCACATTATGAGACCCTAAATCATTGCAGAAACTCATGAGCAGGTGCCACGACCCCCAGAGACAACCCTGTGTCGGGCCACAAAATTCCAAAGTGCATGCAGGCGCTGAAACCCCTGAGCAGCGGAAGCCTCAGGGACCCATCCCACCCCCGGGCCTGAGATCAGCTACAGAAGCTCCACCAGGGCAGTGGGGGGAGGGGTCCAGCAGCACCCCTGGTCTGTCGAGGTCACCCAAAGGCAGCAGACGCACTGCTCGAGGAGAAAAGGGCTTTGCCCGCCTGCCTGGTAGAGTCCCCCCTCCTCATTCAGCCGCAGGGCCTAGAGGCAGGTGCCGCACTAAGGAGAGCTCTGGGGGGTGGGTGTGGGGGGGAGATAAAGGCCTGGGGGAGCCCCTCCTCCTCCTCCTCCTCCTCTCCTGACCCAGCTTCAGTGATCAGATACACGCCTGGACTCTCGGTCTTGTTCCACGGCACTCGGCAACCAAACCTTGAGACTCAAGGGTGTGTCACGACGACAGGAACCGCAACAGTGGGCAGGTGGAACCGCCTACCCCACCGCCCACCTCCCTTGGCACACTCCAGTCCCACAGCTTCTCTGGCACGACACAACCCGGGGCCAAGGTCTCCCCACCTCTCCGTATCGAAACGCCAAGTTCCCTAGCCTGATCATCCGCTCACTCGTGATGCCCCCCCCGTGGGGTGCTGATCCAGTCCCTACGTCTGACCCACGCACCCCAAAGGAGTCCAGCCCAATTACTCTGAAGAGGCACCCAGAGGAGTTTGGCTTGCCACAGGCCTAGCTAGGACGGACAAAGAGAACCTTTTGTAAGTGGGAGCCGCTGGAGCACGTGACCCCTCAGGCGCTCAGCTTCGAGGCGGAGGGGGCGTGTCTGGGCCACACAGACCGCAGAGGACCCGCTTGCTCGCGTGAACCAGCACCTCTGAGCACGTCTCAGCCTCGTGGAACGGAGATGGAACGGAGAGGGAAGCGGAAAGGCCGAGGAAGGCCGCTTTCGTGGCACGTACACCAGTCCCTGTTGACCCACCCCCGCCCCCAGGAAGTACCAGGACAATAAAACTGGTCAGGCAGGGAAGACTGGCCACGTCTCCTACGTACGGGAGGGGCAGCCTTGGAGAAGGTGCATACGAGGCAAAATCCGGACACACCAGAGGCTGTGTGCACGGTGGAGGGCTGGCGCATCAGTCCGAACAAACGATGTCCATTTATGTTGACTGAGTCATGACTCTGGGTGTTCCTCACTTGTCAGTGTTGGCCCAAAGGGCCCAGAATTGGGGGGGGGGGGGGAGGGAGGAAAGCCCAGGAGGCAGATGTCCAATTTAAAGTCCCCACCCCCACCCCACCACTCCCTCCTCCTCCTCCTCACGCCGATGTTCCCTCTGCACCCCCAGCTCTGCCAAGGAAGGGGGGAGAAAAGGGGCCCCGAGCCCCCCCCTCCGCCCCACAGGGAGGCCACCCCCGTGTACCTGAGCGACGGGTTCTTCTCCTTGGCCTTGGGCTGCACCACCGGCTTGGCCACCTGGCCTGCCGTGAAAGCAAAGGTGTCAGAGACGTGCTGCGGGTAGCGCAGTTTGCTCAGGTGTTTCCTAAAGATCTCCGCACTCTCCGAGGCCACCTCCTCATCAAAGGCAATGCGCAGCAGCTGTGAAACAACGGCAGGAGCTCGTCTCTCGTGCCCAGTGCCATTACTGACCCGGGAAAAGGAGGAGGAGGAGGAGGAGGAGGAGGAGCTGAGAGACCCCCCCTCTTCACACCTTCACCCGCCAAGGGTGGGGGGCAAAGCGCCCCCCCCGGCCCACCCGAAAGAAGCCCGACCTGGGCCCTTGCGAGCCTCACCTGGAATGTACAGGAGCGCAGCTGGAGCTGAGCGCAGCCCTCCTGGATGAACTGGTCCACCTGGGCCTGGACCGTGATCTTCTCCTCCTTGGTCAGGGAAGCCACGGGGAAGGAGCGGACCACCACCTGCTCCCCAGCTGGGAGGAGGCAATGCAACAGGGCGCGTCAGCCAGGCCCTGCCGCTGGGGGGGGGGGAGAAGTGCCGCGCCTGTCAGCAGACCCCCTTTGCCAGCCAAGAGCGGTACCTAGCGGATCCGTTGGGGTGCCTCTGAAGATGAGGCGGTAGGTGGTGAGGAAGATGGCTCCTTCGGCAGGGAGCAGGGCCGGGCCCCCCGTGCTCCCCCCGGCCGCTTCTTCCCTCCCGTCGGGCATGAGGTACACACGGAGGCCCTCCATCACGCTCTCTTCCCCGATCAGCAAGCTCGGCCGGAGGAGCTTGGGCTGCCAGAAACCGACAGGGAAGAGAGAGCACGGTGTGGCCGGGGGGGAAACCGGAGGCACTTTTCACACACACACACACACACACAC